AGACTGATCAAGAAAAAAAAGAATTATTATCAATTTCTGAAATGAATAAGGGGATATCACTACGGATCCTACAAACATTAAAAGGATAATATAATGGAATATTATAAACAAATTTATGCCAAAAATTTTGACAACTAAGATAAAATAAACAAATTCCATGAAAAACATGCCTGACCAAAATTGATAAAATATGAAGCAGAAAATTTGATTAGGCCAACCATCTATTAAAGAAAGTAAGTTCATTATCAAAATTCTTCCTACAAAGAAAACTCCACACTCAGATGGTTTAATTGGTGAATTTTACAAAATATTAGGAAAAAAATGCCACACTTTCACAAACTCTTAAAAAATAGAAGAGGGAACACTGCACAGTTTGTTTTATGAAGTCACCATAATTCTGATACCAAGGCTAGTTTGACCCTGAAACTTCTTTATGTTTATCCACTCATCCAACAAATATTTATTAATATGTGTCTTCTTATAGGTAACTCAGCCACCTATGTCTTTGGCTTTTCTACCAAAACAGAAGGCTTTCTATGATTGTATCTTGCTAAACTTTTCTCTTCCACTGTGGGGAAAAGCATTTCACTCATGACACTGATTTTATTATTAGTTCTCAGTTTCTCAGATATTTTTTTCTCATGTCAGGCATTCCCTAGCTTGAAAGAACTCCAAACTTTATTTTCTTGAAACACTCATGAGGTACCATTGAGCCTCTTAACACTGAGAACTGTTAAGGCTCCGTGTGACTCTTACCAATCCTTGAAGGTTTTCCTATCACATAAGCTCCTAATGTCAGACAAACTGGATTTAATCTCAGCTCTGCTTAAATAATTGGCTTAACATGTGTGTCCCTGGGCAGATCATTTAACTTCTCAAAGTTTTTATGTCCTCTTCTGTAAATGGGGATAATAGTGGCACCTGAAATAAAGCCAACCTCCTATGTACTTAGCACAATATCTACCACATAAGTGATCAATAGCTATTGTCATTATTAGCCCTATGTTTTTACTTTGATTTTTCCTTTTAACAAAACCTTCTAATTCTTCTCCTTATATCTGAGTTAAATATGCAACCATACCAAAGTTATTTATTACCTACCAGTATACTGGAGTCAACTTTGTGTGCAGTATAGAATAGGAGGAAAGAGGAGACGGAAGAGGAAGGAGAAACAGGACTACTTTTAGTTTAACAGTATCTGTTTCATAAAACAAATGCATCTGAATAAAAATTTAAAAACAAACCAACTTTGTAATATGAATGCAATTTGTAAAATTATTCACCATAGGACTCATTTTTAAAACATAAAAAAAAGGTGTATTATAAATGATTTATTAAAATTCAATTTACAGAAGACTCTTAAGAAACATCTACTCCATCAAGGTAAATACACCCATACCAACCACTGTTTCTACAAATATTTCCCAATTAACCTCCACCTGAAGGGTCTATAGCATTAGCATGATACTATT